GTGAATACCGAAGTATTTCACTGAATAGATGTTATTAAACGTTTGTTTGTCGAGTATTAACTCTCTTGCTCACTAGCGTGGTACCTCTACTGAAGTTCAGAAGTGGTCTGATTGCCTGTGAAGCTACAGTTCTTAGGTGAGCTGCAGCGCGAGACCTGGTGACGTCACGAAGATTAAAGCCATGTCGCTGATGACGTCACAACTCGGAATGCTGCAGAGTTCAACTTTCTGCATGTTTACATTCAAAATCGCAATCTGTCAGTCAAATGTGCTGTAAGCTAACAGGCCACCGTAGTAACATGCAAAACCATTTTAAAACCTGCAAGGTGAAAACATAACTTTCCCTTTCCCTGAACTCAGAGTTAAACTCCATTTTCACCTAAACCACTTTGAATAAGTCTTGTTTTGCTGTTAAAAAGTAGACAGTTTATTTCTCTACTATTCTTGCCTGCTGCTGGGGTCTGTCCCCTTCATTGTCATTTGTTTGATCAAGTGATCATCATGATCACAGTTACATAAACTCTTCATATGGTCAAGATCAAACTTCTGAGAATGCTAAATAAAATACTAATTCATCTTTGTATTACAAATATAATTACTTAAATGAAATTACAAATTAAGACCAGACATAAAACGCAAACAAAGCAACACAATACACCATCGGGTTGGGATCAAACTAATTGTTTAATGTTTTTACTTGTTAAATATGACTCATATTTATGTTATAGAAGGGACTACTTTTGTGTTTTGGAAACTTATTTTCATATAAAAGGTCCCTGAGGTGACCCTGAGGTGACCCACACCAAGTCCCTAACCGTAAAGTCCTTCCCTCTGGTTCTCATGTCATAGTTCCTTTTTTGTCTTATACCTGCTTTCTGCAGCTGAATTGCAGTGAACACGGCTGACTCAAAATTCCTGCCCTGATCGCTATGAACCACTTCAGCTGCTCCAAACCTGGAAAACATTCCCTCCACCAAGGCATCCGCGACTGTCTCTGCCTCCTGGTCTGGTATGGCGTATGCACCAGAGCCGGCCCCAGTAGAACCCCTGCCGGAGTCGACGCAGGGTTTTCGATACCCCAAAATGTCCTGCCCCGGTAGCTCCATGACAGGCTTCCGACACTGACTCTCTCAATGCTCTGGGGACCACCACCTGCCACCTCTCTTCTCCTGTAGCAGGCTCTTTCCAGGCTCTCTGAAGCACCCCATCCTTCACCCGGAGAGTCTCCCACTTTGCAAACAGTCCTTTAGTGGCATGTGAGTATCCAGCAACCTCATTCCACTGTGGCTTTTGTCCGGACTCCACCCACTGTAGCACTGGTAGTAGGTCAGCATCCTGTTCCTGTTGCGCCCTCCATTCAGCAGCGTCAACGACCTGTGCCGCTCTGCAAGCCGGCCCTTCACTGTCAGTTAAGGGACTCTGCCCCACCTCACTGCGGAGCTCCACCTCTCGGGACTCACACGGTTCACAATATCGACAGCCGTCATGTGCACAAGGACGCCGGGACATGGCATCAGCGTTGGCATGGCGCTGATTAATGGAGTAATGTGGGTTTCTTAAACTGAACATTTATTTATAAATCTATGCAAATGCATATGTAATATTTGTAACTTGAATAAGTAATAAATACAGAAACAGCTATTTAACAATATGATAAGGAGTAGTTTAATTTATTTAAAATTACATTACATTTAGTTAGATTTATACTGTTAATCTGGCCCTTTGAGGGCAACCATTATGCTAATGTAGCCCTCCTGAAAATAAGTTTGACACCCCTGCTCTAGGGGCTCTAAAGTCTTGAACTCCTGCTGTTTTCCCAAGTTAATCAAAGGTGCAGTATTAATTAGTCTACTTATATTGTGGTCAATATGAACACCCAAAAAACAGTAACACATGCATCACACTAAGGTCGGAAAATGTTTATTTGCTCTGGCACTGCTGCCATCAGATCTAGT